AAAGTACTCTACCAAGCTACCTTTGACAAAAAAAAGGAACTTTCTGCCTTCCTTCTACCTGGCCCTAACATATGAATCTCTACCCAAATGCTGAGACATAATCCGCATCGTCACAGCCTACACAGTTTGAGACAATTTCTGCCCTCATGGATAACCTCCAGCTTCTGATGGGAGAGAACAGAGCACTCGTACACAGGCCTGTGGCAAACATCTGATTCTTGATTTACAATGTATGTATACACTAACAGAATGACTTTTTTTGAGATATTTTTATCTGATAAATGCCACTGGACTGGGACAAAACATCCTTTCCAGAAGGACATTCTGGACTTGCATTCCATCCTCAACAAGTTTGCTATGGAGTGACTGAATTGTTAATATATCCACATGCAGATAATTTTCTTAAAAGTCTAATGATAAACAAATACCCAATAGGCCTTGACAGTACTCAGAGAAAAATTCTATAAAATTCAACAAAAAAGAAATGAACATGATTTTACTAAAATATAAAATTCCTGTGAAAAGTAAAGATGTTTAATATAGAATATTTTGGTGATATTTTCTTAAAGACTTTTTTGTTTTACTATTATTGTCATTATCATTTAATGTGCAGAATTCTAAGTGAAAAATATAATTCTCTGGTAAGTTATTAATAATGTTATACTAAATCACTGAAATGTTGTGAAAATAAGTATATCACTATGCCTTAACAGTTGTAAGCTTCCAATGCCTTAACAACTTCAATTGTAAACTGTTAAGACTGCTAGGAGTCCTGGGGCAGTAAGAATTACAATTTCTGAATTAAGTCATTCTTAAGATGTCCTTAAAGACAATCATCATACTGTGCCGCATTTACAGTACATTAGTCCTGATATAATGAAATCAGCATCATTATACACTTGAAGAATCTAGTTTGCTTACCAGTATAAAAAAAAAAAACCAACCAAAAAAAATCCCGAATAACTGCAAAGCTGATATAAAATCTAAATACTTAGTTTACAGTTCAGCACAAATCTATTTGTAACATGATGCATCTAGCCAAGCCTCCATATTTAGCGTTTTCATTGAAGACCTTGCAGTTCTGCTCTGGTGACAATGAAGGGCCTAAGCTGACAACTGGTTAAAGTCAGAATGGCAGGAGGAATTTAGCTCCTCCTCGATTTATTCTAGTAGCAGACTGTAAAAATACATGATCAGCAACAAAAGCAAGTCATTTTCTATGGTCTACAAAAATAGCGAGATGTTTATTTCAGTGGCTAATGTATTTTAGAGTGAAGCCTGAAACCATTCTCTGAACAAACCTGTCACTAGTAAAACCAGCACTAACCTCTACATCAGAGATGAAATTTATGTGAAGCAGATGATACATTACTGGCAAGGTGGCACACGCAATAACAAAGCACATATTTGAAGGATTTCTGTAGCAATTTGCAATACACAGGTTATTTTAAAACTTTGCATTTCTTAGGATCTTAACTAGATCTTAACAAGAACATACACAGATGCAAAGGCATTAATTTTACAGTTTCAGAAGTGGATTTGTTTAGTGTAATGTCCTGCTCTTGCTCAGAAGGGTGTACTCTTGACAGGATTAACTTCCAGGGCATCTAAAAGCTGTGTATCAAACAGTAGCAGATAGGCACAAAGGAAGAAAAATATATTTCTTCCTCCCCCAAAAGATAAATTTTATATTGAAAGCTGCTTTGCATATGGGCATTTTAGAACCAAAAGATTATCAATAATACCTGCAACTTCATTCTTGTCATTCAAGTCCCTAGTCATTGCTAGAAACATTTAAAAAGACTACAAGATGACAAAAAATCCTCTGTAGCACTGCACAGATAAATTGAAAAACCATGCCACTAAAAAAGATCCTTCTGTTATAAAGTTCCTAGCCACAAGATGACTGTTACGGGGATCCTCACTCTACCAAAGTCCATTAAGACCTCTTTTCTTTCTCTGATGAGATACTGATCAGGGAGTTTCTAGCACAGCCTGTGTGAGAAAGTGAGGTTATGTTACCATCCCACCAGGTGATCACGCAGCCTGTTAGTTAACTGCATGGAAAACTTCAGGTTCATAGAAAATCGTACTCCACTAAGAACTTTTTGAAAATGTATTTACAATTTTAACTTTATCAGACAGCTCTCCTAAAGTAGTATTCCAGTTCTATGTTTATATTTTATCTTTAAAAAAAGATTAAAAATTTATCTTTAAAAAATATAAAACATTATCTTCTTTCTCGCGATCTTCCCAAAGTCTTTTCCCAAGGAATAGTGATACTTTCAGTAGTGCTAAAAGGAAAAAAAAAAAAATCCCTGAAATGTACAACTGAATCGTATTCAAACGGTGCTGAAGCGAGCCAGCTATCTTCACCACGCTGAACATACCCATGCAAATTTTGCAGGGGTGTAAACCAAGGATCATTGTTGTAATCTCCGGGCTTTGTAAACAGGGTACTACTCTACAGCACTGCAGCTTTTCTACATCACGAAAGCATCTTCCCATTCGGTTTTCTCAGTTGCAGAGGCTCACAGGAAGGTGCAACTTCAAAATCCATTTATTTAATTCCAACTTGCCATTTCTTTTGAGTAAATTATTGCTCTGTCTGCTTATACTTGCAGGCAAGCATAACAACAACTATTATATTCGAAGTGTGCTTTTATCAAATAATCGAGAAAACAAGTTTATTAACCACAAAGCACATCAGAGAAAGTTTAGAACACACAATTATCAAACTAAAGAACATATTTTATTTTTAATAAAATAGTGGAGCATGAAAAATAATTGTATATTACAAGTATATACAGCACAAAACTGCGCACCCCCAGCACAGTAAAGAGCATCACTCTATACAAAGCTTCCCTTTGCAGAATCTAGTGCTTCTTGATCTATTCATAGTGAGAATTTGTTTAACAATAGAAAGAGTCAATAAGCCCTTTGGGTCTCTTTGAATTGATCCCCCCCTTTTTTTTTTGCACAAATCAGTCCAAACGTGTATAACATTGGCTTGATTTCCATTAAAAAGCCACAAAATGTAACACTAAAGGGTTTCTGAGGACTAGACCTCTTAGTTCTTTTGTTAAGAGATTTCTTTTGTTGTCTTTATGTACAGCAAAATACTTGTTTCTCTTTTCATGTCATGGTAAGAAAAAAAATGTATTGCACATTATTCTTATTCACAAAGTTTGTGTCTGGTGTAGGAAGTTTCTCTTTTAGTGAAAGAATATTGGTGAGCATTATAGATTGAACCTATTTTTAGGCACTCCAAACCCACCAGGCTGAGATGAGGATTTCTCTCTTTCTCTCTCTTCTTTTTTTTTAAAAAAAGTTAGCATGGAAGTTGCTTTTGCAGACGGCAACTCACTGAGGACAGGCCTCTCCGGGTCCTGCAGAGACAATGCTCACTTGGGCACTTTTAAACTAAAATCATTGCTCCATAAAACTTGACTACACCTTGTTACTCAGAAACCTGTCGAAAATCCAGCTCAGCTACATGAAAAAGTTAAATAGGGTGGGTGGGTTTTGTTGTTTGTTTTCAAAAAAATACATCTGAGGGCTGGATTAAGTACATAACTACAAATTAGTAACAGAATAGACTGTTGTAATTCACAATATTTCTTTCACTGAAAACCTTTCCATAAGTACATTTACCTTCAATTTTTCACCAGGTCCTGAATTCAGCGTGGTACATTTTTTGCCTTGAGATATTAAACTGTTCTCTGACAAAAAAAGCACCATTTACTTTTTAACTTCTGACTGTTGCTGTGAACATTTGTAAGTCTGTAAGGTGAGATACAGTCTTTTCTAAAACCTGGTCACACACAAGTGGGTGGTTGTAATGTTGATTCATATTTTGCAAGGTGAGTTTTCTGGGGATGTTGAGGTTTTTTGTAGATTCCGCTGCTTGTAATAACACTTGCAGGTTTTCTCCTACTTCTCTTCTTTAATCTTCGACTACAGACATTCTGCCAGGACTGAAGAGTCTTGGAAGTCCAGATCCACATACCACTAGTAATGCCCACAACTAATAACATAAAAATTTTGACCATAAAAATTTCTACCGCTGGAATAGAGTTGTTCATCATGCAGTCTAAATTTTTAGTCTGATTGTTCATCTTGCATTTCTGTTGGGTTGCCACAATTTTCCAATAATCCATATTAAGTCTTTCATAAAAATAGCAAGCTATCACACAAGTTGCAGGCACCGTATACAAGACTGAGAAGACACCAATTCTGACCATAAGTTTCTCCAACTTGTCAGTATTTTCTCCACCTGTTTTCATCACCCGCCTGATGTGAAAAAGGGCCACAAAACCAGAAAGAATAAAAGAAGTGCCAATGATCAGATAACAAGCCAAAGGAATGAGTACAAACCCCGTCAAGGCATTCACATCCATACTTCCAACATAGCACAACCCTGTCAGCTCATCTCCAGCCACCCTTCTCATAACTAGGATCATTATGGTCTTCACAGCCGGAATGGCCCATGCTGCCAAATGAAAGTAGCTACTGTTTGCTTCAATTGCTTCATGCCCCCATTTTTTCCCAGCTGCCAGAAACCAAGTTAAAGTCAAGATCACCCACCACAAGGAACTTGCCATACCAAAGTAATACAGAACCAGGAACACAATGGTGCAGCCAGTGCTCTCCAGTCCTTCCTGGATGACATAGAGCTGGCCACTGTCCCTATCACAGGCAATACTTTCAGCACCTGAAAAGAGGCGAATAATGTACCCCACCGAGTAGACACAGTAGCACATTGAGAGGAAGATAATGGGCCTCTCGGGGTACTTGAAACGCTGAGGATCTATCAGAAAAGTGAGTACAGTAAAAGCACTGGAGAAGAAGCACAGAATGGACCAGATGGCAATCCAAATGACAGCAAATTGTTTGTCATCCTTGCTCCAGTAAACATCAACCCCTGGAGTGCAGAGTGGCGCGCAGGAAGCGCTCTTCTCCACGTGGTGGAACTTGCCCGGGTTTTCACAGGAGGTTCTGCTGAGGCTGTCCTTGTGCTGCTGCACATCGTGGCCACTGCTGGGCCGCTGTGGTCGAAACATGGGTGGCAGCATGCTGGATCCTCTGGGTGGCTCGTCTGATCCGTTGTTGGGGGCTTCCATGCACAGGTAATTGGGGTCGTTCTTGTTGGGCAGTTTGCTGCAGTCTAAGGAATCTGGCCATTTAAAATTGAACTGCTCCATAATAGGGGAGCATTTCAGCCTCGCCTGCTCACACATAACCCTGCAGGCTGGGATTGGTGTAGAAACCTGCTCTGTGCACATCGGGGCGTAGAGGGAGCAGAGGAAAAATTTCAGGTGGCTGTGGCAGGGGGGCTCCACCAAGGGGGCAAACTCGTGCAGCTGAATGGCAGCTTCCCGCTGGTTCTCGTGCCCCATCAGGTTAGGCATCCTCGTCATGTTGTACCCGATATCCTTGCACATGG